CATTTGACCTTTATTCCACGTAACCAGTGAATGGGAACGTAAAAGGTCAAGTTTTCTGAAATTCTATGAACGTTACAGCGGCTAGCTTTTCATCTCACCTGATGAGATTAGACATGATAGAGATCTTTTTAAAGTGAACTTTTCAGGACAATGTGAATATTTTGGTTATTCGCTAAAAAAACTATGGCTTAAATAACCAAGCTGTAATGCTGCCATTCGGAATGAATTTGCTGAAATATGGTGTTTAGTGAATAGACCTGTTGTTATTTTAAATTGAACGTATCATGGTATGCATGACTCATTAAATTTCATGTAAATATTTGTAGCATTTTCTAGATTTTATGATAAAACCATGGCTCAAAATGTCCACTATGGCGAGAGAACATGTTGACTTGGTGAGTAGAAATTCACCCTTGATGAGTATGCCATCGACCTTCCAGGCTTGCAGTGGCAAGTAACATTTAAGTCCTGGCTAGTAGTGTGAGACTTGAAATTTTAAGCCCTGATAAATCTATTCAATAATATGGAAATTCACTTCGCCACTTAATCCGTTTTCTGCATAGATGGTTATATCAACAGCATAGACCTCTAGGGCAATGATTAAGAGACGGGGAGGGCAGACGTAGTGTAATGAAGTGTAGTGGTCATGATACTAATGGAATGATAGAATTTACGCTGTTCAAACACTGCTGCATGGTCAATGAAGTCAGAGTATTCACATCATTGGTCAGAAGGGTCAGAAGGGCTCTGCTTGAGGAAGTTTAATGTAGCAGTACCAGTAGTGCAGCACTGTGGCAGGATGTAGGCAGGAGCAGTGGGTGGATATTATTATTAAACTCACAGCCTCACTGCAAGCTGCAAACTACATAGCATATGAGGGAGCCATGACGAAAGTATTTTGTTGAAGGATAGAGGGGTGTGGATTTCTGTTTTTATTTTTTTCACACTTCACACATACATATTTACTATATTTTGGGGATACATATGCATAATAGTAAAATTCCTGTGAAAGGTGGACTGCGATAGGAGATATAATAATTAAATGGGTCAGTTTAGGCACCATAAGCACTACTTGCTGGTATACTAGTTATGGGTGTCGTAAGGCTGTACATGCTGTGCTCTGGTTCTTGGTCAAACTGGTTTCCAACAGGTTTGGCAGAAAATGGGTGATATTCCAACTCCATGCTTGTATGTCAGCTCCGTCAATAAATGATTTAAATTAACAACACTGATATTACTAATGTGAAAGAGGAACTACCAAAATATGATTAATTCATTTACTTGTTGTGCTAGAAAATGAATAGATGAAAAGTTATTTAACATTTTAATATTTTTACTGTCTTGAGGTCCACCGTAATCTGCACGACAGGATCACATCACTTGTCAATCACATCACGTAGGGCTGGAGTGTCTGCACATTGTGGTCAAAGTTCAAGCGTACTGGCTCCATGAACGATCACTGTACTTACAGACATTGGCGAAATGCATGCACAAAATAAACAAAAATGGCAAAATTTCAGTGAAAATTTGAACAACAACCTATGAAACCCAAGAAACGTCTTTAAAATCATAAATGGCATACAAACCCCCACAATCCACTTCCAACCCTACACTGTCAAAATGGACAACCAAACACTGCAACACCCCTGAGATGTAGCAAATGCATTTAATAATTATTTTGTTGGATGTGCTACCACCCTGGTTGCTAAGTTAACAAATGACACTCATTTTAAGACCACAAATAAAGATCTGACCCTGCCAAATCTTCAAAGTCCGCATATAGAGAAATTAAATTTTAGACCTGTGCCTGTTAGTGTCGTTAATAAACAGATTAATAATTTAAAAATGAAAAACCAGTGTGGACCAGATCAAATTCAAAGCTCAGTGCGCCAGCAATTGCTAAACCTGTCACTACCCTTATCAATGAATACCTGGTGTCAGGATACATACCCGAACTTTGGAAGACTGCAAAAGTTGTACCTATCCATAAAAGTGGTGACAATACTTTGGTATCTAACTATCGCCCGATATCATTGTTCCCTGTATTGTCAAAAATCTTGGAAAAATGCGTCCACACGCAACTATGTGAATATTATCAACGATAAAATTATCTGACACCTGATCAAGTAGGCTTTTGTCCAAATCACTCAACTTCGACTGCCCTCTTAAAAGTTTGCAATGACATCCAAATTGGCATGGAACAAGGAGACTTAACTGGAGCTATTTTCATTGATTTTGCCAAGGTCTTTGACACAGTAGACCATGGCATTCTTTTGCAAAAACTTAAAAACTCCGGCGTTGGTGATCGTCTGCTAACCTGGTTTCGATCGTATGTTTCAGAGCGATTGCAATATGTGGCCATTTCTGATAGCACTTCCCTCCCTCTTGCAGTCACATGTGGTGTTCCCCAATGCTCCATACTCGGCCCCCTGCTATTCACATTATTTATAAATGATCTGCCTAATGTCTGCAAATCCTCAACATTACACATGTATGCAGATGACACTGTAATCTACGGTAGTAAACGCAAGCTACTGCAGCTTGAGGCTGTGCTCCAAAACCCAGAGGTAGAAAAGTGGATAGCAGATAACAAACTGTTCCTAAACACTGACAAAACAGTTACAATGATCTTTGGAACTGTACCTAAATGACATAAACTAAAAAATCAACAATTGTGTATCAGAACAAATTCAAATAGCACACTGACAGCAGTCTGCTCTTTTAAATATCTAGGTATGTTGCTAGACCCCAATCTATCCTTTGGCCTTCACATTGAAAAAATCCCTTCAAAACTTTACCCACAAACTAAGTGCCCTGTACAGGAACAAATCCTGTCTAAGCCCTACAGTAAGGAAACCGTGCAATAAATGTGAATGCCAGTCATTAATTATGGGGATGTAGTGTATGCACCCGCACCGCAAACCCACCTTAATAAAATTAATACGTTATATAATTCATTCTGCTACTTTGTACTGGAATGTAATTACTTTACCCACCACTGTGACATGCTAAAAGAGCTAAACTGGCTGTCGCTGGTATCCAGACGCACCCTTCATATTTCCAGCCTTGTGCATAAGAGCATTTCTGGGTAGCTCCCACCCTACATGAGTAGATTGCTCTCCCTGACTGTTCCCACCTCCCTCAGGTCCAGTACTAGCATGGTATTTAGCATACCGCAATACAAAAATAAAATGGCTCGATCCTCCTTTTCCCACAGAGCACCGCAATTATGGAATAACCTCAGGGACACAGTCAAATCTTCATTCAATCTAAAATCGTTTAAGAGACCTATGGCAATATACCTCAGCACAGAATGCACCTGTCATGGTTGAATATATTTATTACCTGTTGCGTATTAAATTTATATATATGTGTCTATGTGTGTGTGTGTGTGTGTGTGTATATGGTATTTTTGTAATATTATATCCTATTGTAACAATGCAATTTTTTGTGGACAAAGACCCAGGACATACTTGAAAACGAGAGAAATCTCAATGTATCCATCCCGGTAAAATATTTTATAAATAAATAAATGTAGCTGCTTCATAAGCACAGTAAGACCATATTGGGCAAGAAAGAAAAAGAAGTTAAGTTAAAGTGCTCTTTCAGCCCCACCACCATAAATCTTTTTGAAATTATCACATTGACTGTGGTGGAATTTCACTGAGATTCCAACTCTGTCAAAAGATATACTGAGACCGAGTATGGACTACTACTGGTACGTCATATGTATTTTTCATACACTTGATAAAACGGTGGAGCTTCCACTGCCAAGCTTTGTCAAGCAATCAGCTGTCACTAGTGACTACTGTGGGGAAAAAGACTTTGTCTATGAAGGCCCCTGCAGTCTTGTGGGGTCCTCCACAGACATCTGTGTATTAATCTCGCGCGTGCATAAGAGTACAGCAGTGACGTGGGCTAATGGCAGATGAAGCTCCAGAAGCTGAAAAAGGTCCCATGGAAAAAAGATGGTGGGGCCACAAGAGACAGGAACAGGTAAATATAACTCTCCTTCCCCGTACTCCATATCCACCGTACTGCCTTGGGCTGTCACCATCTTTGCAAAGTGCATCTTTTAGTTTGGATATACACCTCCCTGTACATGAATTAATTGTATTGATGATCAGTTCACTTTAAATACAGAGGCACATTTTTGTGTGACAAAAGCGACACTAGGATGTATGACTGTGCCATGTCTGCTTTAGTTCACTTTTCAGGCATTTATGATGTATCCGTATCATTTGTTATATTCTATGGATTGGAATTAAATGATCAGTGTGGTGGGATACATTTTTGCTCTGTTGTTCTGTTTGTTGGAGTAATGATGCAGGCTTAGTGTTGGTCCTCTAGTAGAATGTCTCTCTTAATGAACAGCTTGATTTATTGCTAGTCTGTCTGTCTAGTGAAGCAACTCCTGCTGCTTATAGCCAACCTATTAGAAGACACCCTGCTGTGAAAGTGGTCTTCCTCCAATCAATCTGTGTTCCTCATGCATAATAGACCTATTCATTAAGCAATACAATGCCAGCCTCCCTAGTATGTGTTCTAAGGTCAACCCAGTGGGTGAAAAGGAAAATGTTTATTGTATTGTAAGTAATTACTAATAATACACCCCATCTCCTTCTTCTATTTAATATGGATCCTGTTCTGAGCACCATTGTCACTGTGTTTATATTTTTGAAGGGACAGACAGCATCATTCCTTACTTCTTCTATAGCACTTCTTTAGTACTGAGTTGTTCCTCCATCTGCTTTTATCAGGAAAATCTTTTCAATGCAGTGTTTTACGGCTGTTTTCCCTGTCTGGAAATGAAGTTATTTAGAACAATCAGGCAGTCCAAGTGCTTCAGGGTATAAGAAAGATAACCTTGGTGAGAAGGGTCATAAAGAGCACGCTACCTGAGACAATATACAGACAAAATTCTATTTTACTTCCAGTAAAACCCAGTAGCTTGCTGCACCAACATTTTAATGTAAATTGGTATTTTGTGGCACTTATGTTTAAGGAACACCGCAAGCACCATAACCACTACAGTGCACTGTAGTGGTTGTGGTGCTGTGGCACCCCTTTTTGTAAGTAGTCAAGCCAGCCATTGTATGCGTATATGTGCATACATCCCAGCATTCAAACACACATACTTCATGCAAAAACATGCTTACTTTTAAACACATGAATACAACACTGGCCTAGTGTGGTAGATCCCCAGCTCGCAAAGCATTGTGATATACCTTTTGGCCATCCTTGTGCTAAAGGGGGACCCAAACAAATTCTTGCACAAGGGCCTTTTCTTACACCTTATGAGTTGCCCGTGTCCCATAAACTGTAGATGTAATTGAGGCTTTATTACTATTGATCTTGTTTCCCTTTTAGAAGCAGGTGCATTATATTTGCCCAATACTCATTATAAACAGTCTAAGGATCTTTTTTTTAAAATCAAATAATTGCATCTATCTTTATAGTCTTCTCTGCCCTTTGTCTCACTTTATATTCCCCCATCAGATGGCATGAGGGAGATTAATGAACTGCAATCTGCCTGCTAGATTTATGGTTATGCTGCCGTATTCCAGCAGCCCTTTCTAATCAAATCTGGCACGAAGCCGCCATAATTAACTGTTACGCCGGGGCATGTGTTTGCTGCTCTGTGCTATTGTACAAAAGCGTGCAAGTGTGTGTTTCCTGTAATACAGAGGGCAGATCTAGTGCCATCATTTATCATTATTCTACATGTGCTGAGATTGTACACTACATTCAGTACTGCTATCTCTTTCAGTACAATTTCTAATTATACAAGGACAAACCTTGGGATCTGAGCACATTGTAATAGTTTCTGACATTAATAGTCTCTGGATGGGAGGGAAGCATGGCTTTTGGGATGAGCCCTATAACATTTTTACTGTGGTTTTAAAAAGCAAAACACCAATCAATTCTTCATTTCTGTTGATGCCATTTCTGTCTTATCATATTTTTTCCTTTGATTAATCTATGCCTAAAATCTTAACATATACTCTATAAGGACATGTGTTAGCTCTGGATCACATTTGTAAAAGGTCAGTAAGAAGCAGGATAGTGCATAAGAGTGGAATGATTTATAGGGTGATAAAATTAAACTTGTTTTAGATAACAGTCTCTCCTAGGAAGCAGATGATGTTTAACTGCTGTTAACGTGAATAAGTATAATGTGTACAAATGCAATGGTTCTTAATTCCTAGGTCAGGACCAAAAATGTGATTCCCCATTCTGTTTCAGTAGGTCTCCAGAGGGTGGAACAAGCAACAGTCCACAATAAATAAGATACTTTAAAAAAATATACCATCTCCAGTACAATGGAGACTACTTTGTCTTAGAGAGGAAACTAATTAAAGGGACACTACGGGCACCCAGACCACATCATTTCACTGAAGTGGTCTGGGTGCAATGTCCTGTCCCCCTAAACCTGCAGCTGAAAACATTGGAGTTTTATAGAAACTGCAATGTTTACACGGCAGGGTTAAGAGTGCCTCTAGACATCCACTAGAGACCCTTTCTGGTGACACAGAGTATAGCCCTAACACACACAGTTTAGGATAGCAAGGAACGGACAAAGGAAATATATACGTCTTACCGGGCCTTAGAGTGGCTGGACTAAACGTTAAAGTAAAGAGTAGTCGAAATACAAGCCAAGATCTGGGTAACGGAGAGACTGCGAAAACTAGCACTAGCCAGAGTCAGGTACACGGTAATAGTCAGATGTGCAAGGGTTAAAGAGAAACTCAGTCTGGAAACAAAACTAAGGTCAATACCAGAATACAATACAATAACACAAGGAACGCACTAAAGGGTACTGGGAACAGAAACCACAACCTGGCACAGAATCTAGGGCCAGGTAAGTTTAAATAAGTCTTTGTTTAATTTGATTGGTCTATGTCATGCCTGCGCCCTAAAACGTGCCAGAATGGGGGGTGTCGAAATGACGTGGGCCAATGAAAGCCCACCGCAAGGTTAGGCTCCCATTTCCCCTTAAGAACGTGCTCGCAACTCGAGCAGCATTTTTAATACTGTACAAGCCTCGCGCCCAATCAGACCCGCCAGAAGCTAGAAGTGTTTCAGCCGCATGCGGCTCGTCTGGAGGCAGGAGTGCTCGAGCCGCATGCGACTCAATCGGAGGACCCCTGCCGGCATGAGGACCAGGTAAGTACCGTTAATCCTGGCCTTTCATGGAGTTTGACTCCAAGTAACTACACTGGATGTCCTCAAGCAAAGTGTCCAACATCTTCTAAATCTCTATATGAAAGCATTGTTTCAATGGCCCCAGAGAAGGTGGCGGAGACAAAGCTAGCACCATTGGTTTTTGATAGCTGCAGGGAGAGGGTGAGCAGGGGTGCCGCTGATTTGCTGAGAGCATCAACTGATGCTTTAAGCCAACCAGTAGCTCCCAGTTATAGAAAAATATGTACATTTCTTAAGCTTTTTTGTAAATGGGGAGCTATATATTGGCTTAGAGCATGATCTGCCACTCTTAGCCAATCAGCGTGCCCCTGTCCTTGGCTATGCAAGGCTTCCTGCTTCAAAACCTAAAGATAAGCCAGCACAGGAACCTATAGGCACCATAACAAGTTGTTATGATGCCCGAAGGTTCCTTTTTAAGAAACAAATTCTCTAATGTAACATTTGAATAGTCAACGACAGTTTATTATTTCAAAAGACAAAAAAAAACAACTTGGAACAATTTGATAAAATTCCAGTGGTTTGTTAGGCTGTTTATTTTTATATACTCTATTTGATAATTATACTATAATTGCTAAATTAAGAATTATCTCGTATCAACTACAAAGTACATATTTCCAGTTTAGAGATAAACCCTGTGTTTATTTATTTTTAATTTTTTTGCACATCCTGCCAAATCTCTCTTAATGACCGTTTGTTTTGATTGATTTTTGTTTTTGTAATTTAGTAGGAATTTATCCTTTGCAGTTCCCTTATGTCTGAGATTTATTACTAAAAACTAATACAATCTATCTATATTTGTCAGGCATACCTGTAAGCTTTTTATTTATTTATTTATAAAGCGCCAAAAGATTCCGCAGCGCTACAGTACATTTTACGTCTGATAGGTGAGACTGAAATGGTGACATGCCTAGCTAACCATAAAATGATGGCCTACATGAATTACTAATAATCTGTCCGCTTGTTGTATCTTCGGGGCTATTAATATTATTGAATTCTCAGGTTCTTGCATGGCGTTATTGAATAGATGTAAGATAGCCCTTTAGTTTAGTGTCTAAGTGTTTTATTTAGTGCAAGTCACTGTATCATGAAATGTTTGCATGCATTTACAGTGCTGATGCCACCATTGACGATTAAAATGTTAAGAGAAAATTGTACAAAAACTTGGCAAGGTGAATTCTAAAAGCTATAATGCACAAATCTAGTACATGAATCATTTTAAGAACATTCTACGTTTAGGTCATCCGTTTAGCGCTAACTTGTGTAGTATTTTACCCCATTCTGGTTTTTCATGCCCTTTTTAAATGTAAAAATTGTGGAAAAAAAAATATTTACCTCCAAACTTCCCTTGTTTGCTACAAGATAGTGACATCCTGCTTACTACAGTAGCTGCTAAACTCTCATGAATTCAAGTATTTTAATACCTGCTAATATGGATAAACCATACACATACATGTACAACTGGAGGGATGCATAGGGCCTCAAAGGGAAAACTCAGGGCACCATAGTGCCAGGAAAACGAGTATGTTTTCCTGGCACGTGCAGGAATTTCACAGTGCTATCTAGTGTGGGCAGATGACGTGTTCCACAGGGCATGAAATAAAGATGCAAACATTGATGGGGACCTTAGTGGTTTTTTTGGGGTGTCTAGGGGGACAATTAGATGTAGTGGAGTCGGGGGGGAGGGGTTTAAAAAAAAACGAACGGAATTCGGCCATGACAGTGCCGCTTTAAGTAACCTAGAATTACATTTGCGGGAAATGTTTTAAATTAACAGAACATTTCCGTTTTAGCATTCTTTTGTTAGTAGTTCCTTTAAAATACTGAATACTTCTTATTTTACATTGCATTGTTATTACACTGATGAAGTACTTAATACACATTTTAATTTTTAGCATCCAAAAGATTTTGTTGGCCCTTCTGCCATTCAAACCGTTAATTTACACAGACAGGCACCATGTTTTGCTTCCCGCAGACAGCTGTTCTTTCTCATTGAATTCTGATGCATACACATTTAGCTCACATTCTCCATTGTCTCCACATAAAACGTGTCAGCCCAAAAAAAAGAGGTCGAACCTTCACTTGGTGGCCACGTCCCCGTTCTAGGTTGTTGTGACATTACGCATTTTTGTTTGAACTTTCTTTTTGTGTGTGCGCATGTTGAATGAGAACAGCAGATGGACAAAAGATCAGAGCACCGAGGAAGTTGGATTATGTTTGACAGCAAGAGGATATGCATGAGAGCTCAAAAACAATAGTGGAACCACTCCCAGTATTAGAACAGAATGGGTGGAGATGACATATGTAGTTTTCATTCCAGCACAGGATCAGTAAACCATTAGAACATTCACAACACCAAACATCACAGGCAGAAGAAAAACAAAAATATAAACCATTAACCCTCTTCATGCCACTGGGTAAAGTGGTTACTATCTGTTCGGAATGTTCAGTTACGAGCATTCTATCGAGCTAGTCTGTCTTGATGAAGTGCTTCCATTAACTTTTCTTGACCTGTTCACTGCAGATCTTTAATACCACTGGCTAATTAATTTGAGCAATATTATTTGATAGGTAGAATTTACATATACATAGAAGTAATACGCTGTTTGGCACCTCCTTGTAGGTTTATAGCTTTGACAACGGTTAATAGAAGGAGCAGGAAACACTGAATACTATAATATGGTCTGGATATTAACCTTAATTTCCTTTATTGTATCCTACCTCCTCAAGGCTATTTCCTGAACTGAATGGGGCAGTGGAAATAAATTTCACTTCATTACTTTCATGCTAGTTTTAAGAGAAGCTTATAATTAACAAATAACTCCCACCCTTTTAGACCATTGAGTTTTTGAGCACTGCCTTATTATT